GCTAGTCTTCTAGTCAGAACAGGCTGTATATTAACCTCAAAAAGGGCTGTTTCCATAGGGCAGCTGTGCTTCATCCCAGTAATAATAAGAGCAGCACTTAATTGAACTTTTTCTAATTTTTTCAGGTTGAAATCAGAGGCACAACAATAAATCGGAAGCCCGAACTCGAGTATGGGACGAATGAGTGTCAAATAAGTAGTCCTGAGAGTAGTCGCGTTAGCTCCCCAGTCCTTACCCGTAATGTATTTAAGAATGTTTAGTCGCTTTCTACTTTCCAGAAAAATATGTTCAACATGTTTGTGACATGTGAATTCAGAGCCTTAACAGCTGGTCGCCTCCATTGGTTTATTTACCGGTTTGCGTTCCCAGCTCTGTTAATTATATGTATCACATATATTAGTATTATAAGGAAAAAAAAAATCAGAGATCTATACATGATTCTCCACATATATTACACCAAGAAAATTCCCAAACTTTTTGTTGTCAGCATTTCAAATACGCATTTAAATTATGCTACTTACTTATGAATGTTTCAAAAACTTCCCTTTGCATGGAAATGAAATCTCGAATATAGATATTATTTCACTGGAAGAATTCAATACCTCTTCGTCCTCTCACTTCTTCACATAGAAAATCATTAAACACACTCAAAATCTGAAACCAGCTGACGTTTAACCTCACTTCACATAGTGAGGGGAGCTTTCTCTTGGTATGGCGTGTTTGCTGAATGAATATCGTATATTTATTCCCAAGTATCAACATGTAGAAGCATCTTTTTACTCGGCTTCTGATGAGCAATCAGGGGAAAAAGAAAGGAGAACAGTGTAGCAGGAGGTGTGGGAGGGGGTGAGAAGAAATATGGTCCGCACTAGCAGCGGCGGATGAGGTCAGTGACGTTTCAAGATGAAGCGGGGTGTAAAACCAAAGAATCTCTAGGATTCTTTGGATAGGAGAAATATCAGCAGCGCGGATACTAGCAGCGGCGGATTGGGGGGGGGTGAGGTCAGTGACGTTTTGAGATGAAGCGGGTGTAAAACCAAAGAATATCTAGGATTCTCCCTATAGATTCTTTGGCTGGGAGTGACTGAGAGTGCTAATAAGGCTATTACTGTACGATTGTACTGAGTGAAAGAAGTTGACCGCTAATCTTTTAATATAGCCTTGTATGGGTTTCATTTGAAGGTTTGGAACTACTCTGATAAACGCCCTTAAGTCGCCAAACATTTTTGGCGAGAAAGAGATTAAAAGATTTACGCTACCATATTACTATCTAAATTTTTTGCTTACGTTTCGAACTTTAAGCCTAAAATGTCTCCAAAAACGCGGTTTTCGCACATGCAAAATCCACGTTTTGAACACACAATTGAAGCTAAAACTCCGAAAAAAAATTTAGATAGCAAAAACGTAAAGTTTCTAACCAAAAATATTTGACAAGAATCGATGCACACAGCGATATGTTTTAACTTAAAAAAAAAAATCTACGAATTGCAAAATATAGGCAGCGAAGGAATCTACGAACTACGCACACCTCGCTTTAATAAATTAACATAACAATAATAAATTTCATTGAATATTATGTATACAGCATTCTGTTTCAACTTTAAAAAACATTTACGAATTGCACAATCTAGACTCTACGCACTAATCAACAAAATAAACTAAAATAAATTTCAAACAATTCAAAAAACAACAACAGAAATTCATACAAAAAAAAAATGAACATAACATTCTACAAAATAACAACAAGAATAAAATAAAACGCACTTACCATGAATTAACGCTCTTTCGAACAGCAGAAATACCAATTTCATACCGCCTTGAACATGCCGCCACGTAATCACTATCGTATTTATATGATAGCCAGACACACTATCCAGAAAATTCATACTATGGTCCACAAATAATCACAAATTCCTACTTCTATCATGCACAGCCACTAAAAATAATCTCCCAGACCCTCTTTCCAAAGAATCTCTAAGGAGATTTTTTGCCTCTTTCCACTCCTCTAAATACCCACTGCCCCTCAGCAGCACGGCCACAATGATATTTCCTTTTGCCGAACTTCGATTCAATAACTTCCACCATTTTATCTTCTCAGACACAGACGTGAACCAAGGAACTCCAGCGAAAGATTTTTCAACGTCAACAGGGTTGCCATACAATACGCAATCGCGCCAAAACCCAGCGCAGAACACATATCGCCACATTTGGTGAAATTAGGGCGTATATCAGAGTTGTACCGAAGGTTTTTGTAAATGTAAGTGTTTGGAATGTACCAAGGAGCATTGATAATTTCTCGTAAGATTTTATTTTGTAGAACTTGTAATTGTTTAATATTGGTTTTATCGCCACATTTGGTGAAATTAGGGCGTATATCAGAGTTGTAATCAAGTGACAAATCTAGCTTCGCCATCTCACCCAACACTCAAAATATAAATGGTAATACTTATTAATTTTCAAATACCTGCGAAAAGCGTTTCAAAACATTTTTTTCTGATTTTTCTAATAAAAAGAACAAGTTCAAAACATAGATATAAAAAATCTCCATTGTTGCCTATCTTAATTTACTCAACAGAGATTGTGTTGAATGGCCTTGGTCTATTTAAAGTACTCGAAGTTTTAATTACTTCTTATGAGTTTTAATTAAGTCTTTTCACCAAGTTTTTTAATTTCCTTAACGTTTTAAATTCTTTGGATTACATGCTATATATTTAAAGGTAAAAATTTTGATTTAAATTTTTCACTGAAAGTATTTTATTATTTCACTTATGTTTTCAATTCTTTAAATAAAATAAAATTCTCTTTATTTAAGGCAAAAGATTCTAATTAGAATTTACTTTGTTTTTTCCTTGCTTTGGGGAAGGGCCAGAATTTTCGGGTGAACTATTGCAATTAAAATATACTGAAATGGTTCATCGGCTAATTCTGGATACAGAAAAGCAAGGATTTTTGTAAAAAAGAGATTTCGATTGATTTCAATGTCCCCCCCCCCGACGAAGTGGCACTGAGGTTGATTGAATTCCTCTTCTGTTTTGTTCATTTTTCTTTCAATTTCATTATTTTTTTTTTTAAATTAGAGTATTGCTTGTTTGAAAAGTTCTGTTTTAACATTTTTTTAATTCTTTGTTGCAGTTATAGGAATTATTTGAAACTTATTAATTATTAATTTCAATTTTTGTTCTTTGTGAAAAATTAGTTATAAATTTCTTACTTTGTCTTTACTGATAATTTTTCAGCAACTAATTCACGAAAATACTAGGCATGTTTATATATTTTTTAAAAATTGTTTTGGAATTATGAAAGCTTTTATATATATATTTGAATAACAAATATTCAAACAACAAATATTCTGTATTCATAAAAAGCTAATATAAATTTAAAATTTAATTAAGAAATATATATACATATATAAATAAAGGAGATTTATTTTTATAATTTTGTAGATTTTTCCTTTTTATATTTTCATTTTTAGAGTTTGATCTACTAATGAATTCTTATTTTAATTTTGATATGTTTAGATATTGTGTTAAAACTATTATACATGGTTGGAATTATTAATATTATTGGGGAATTACCTTGCTTTGATTCCAATTTAATTTTAACTTTCTAAGTTTATTTTACTTCAAATCCTGCAGCTATAGCGCAGGATGGATTTAAAAATTTTGGCCTATTATGTTTCTTTTTGCACGTATGTGTACACATGGTGACAATTATTGAACTATATGAAATTAAATGTAAATTATTTAAATGCTGTACCATGACATTTTCAGTTGAAAATGGCAAAATTAACAAGTTGTGTGCACATGCGCATACTAGTTCCCATCATGACCTGCGGTCAACCATGAAGTTTGAACTTCATCACGCAAACTGTTCAGAAGTTATGACAGTTTCATTTCATATAGTTCAATAACTTTCACCCTGTGTGTGTATATATATATATATATATATATATATATATATATTATACTGAAATAAAAGGCATAATTTTAAAAGACATGGAATTCTGAATTATATATGGTGCATATATTTGTATGGGTTTTTTATCCATATGGGAAATTTGTGAGGGCACTGTGGGATTTCTTCTGAGCACTTTTATCTGGCCCTCCATTAACAACTAATGATCTTTCATGCTGCTATCAAATCAAAACGTTGATGTCTTTGATGTTCTCTTAGACAAGCACATCGACAGCAGACTAAAATAAATGGTATGAAACTGAGAGTGTCTGTCTTAGAGAAGGGTTTCATTAAGTAATTTCTAAGCATTAAAAACGCAAACAAAGGGGTGAGTCAAACATTTCAAAGTTTCATTTCTTCCTAGATAGATTTTTTTTTTTTTTCAGGGGACCACCAGCGGCCGAGCGGTAAAGTCGCTGAACACTGGTAGTTCGGTCCGAGGTTCGAATCCCGCGAACGGGCTGGCTGCATGGGTGTTTTCGTGGTTTTCCTCATGTGTAACGTGTATACGAGCCAGTTTCCCTTAGAAAGTCCTCCACGAAGGCATTCCTCCCCTTAGGCAGATAGCCCTAGTGTGCTTTGCCATAATTAAGTACACCACACCACATCCTAGATTTTTTCCTAGCCAAACCAATTTATTATTCATTAAACATTAATAAATAGTTTGTTTAATTAGTCTTTCCTTACTTACAAACATTTGCATCTCTATAGAACGGCCCGGTAAAATAACTCTTGGTAGAAGCCAACCATTTGTTTTGCTTCTGAATAGGAGGCTGCAAGAACTCATTAATTAAATGGCCTAGAGTGACACAGTATCAAGTACTCAAAGACTTTGTTCAAGGAATGAGTTTACTGTTGGTAATATTCACTTCATGTAAAGGAGAATTTCAATAATACCTCTCACTCGAGTTACTTTGGTCTATTTTTCCTTGTTTGTAAAAATATTTACAATTTTAAGCTACAATAAAAGTTTCCTTCTTCATCTGGCTTGATTATTTATGAAATCTTTGCAAGCAAGTATCAATCTGTGAAGAAATCTGCAAATGTTCCAGTAAAAAAATTTATTTTATTTGAGGTTTGTCACTTATAACAATGTATAAAAACAAATTTAGCAGTCTTCCAGTCACTAAAATGAGATTTAAATTTTTTTCTCAAGGCCTTGGTCTGACTTCTTGATCCCCTCACACAATGAAGGTGCTTGCCTCAATCGTCTTGCTCTCTTTTTCGACATTGCAATCTGCGAGTCTACAGTCATCTTATTTGAATGTCTTTGACTAGGATGTGTTTCTGAAAACAAAAGATTTTGCTCCTTTATCTAAAGAACGGTTAATAAAAATCTAAAACAAACACAAAAGCAATAGATAAGATGAATAAAATTTAAAAATATGAATTACTTCGTGTTTTCGGGAACGTTAGAAAACTCATAATAAGCAATGGGAGAGTAGCTTCATCATAATAAGGAATTTCCAAAATGTCAGCAATTCTTCTTATGTTATCCAAATTCATACTGAAAAGAAATGGAGGATAAAAGCAATTCAGAAAAAAAATCTACACATTTTTAAGTTATAGAAAATAGTTCTTTGTGTTGCATCAATCTGTAAATAGAGGTACAGTAAAAGCTTAACTATACAGAAAGCTTAGAAATATCAAATGCCAGACATGAAACATTTTTGGATAACCGAGCATAGAAAAAATGCAATTCATGGTCAAAAGGCGAAGTCTATGGAAGAAATTTCTGATCTAAAATTATAAAAACAACTATCTTATCTGTTATCAACTTTAATATCAAAAACCTATATTAAAAAAATATGAAAGTTTAAAGAAAAAATCCATTTCAGTTGTAGGCCTGTTAAAACACATGAAAGTGAAACATCTTATCTGATTATGAAAGTCGGCAGCTAGTTGCCAAACTCATGCCAGTCATTCTGACAGAAGTTTGAAGGAACATATTTTTCTTTAGTTAGAAAATTAACAGATAAAATTTGTTAATATAGCATATAAAAACTTGAAGTTGCTATAATTTTTAATGTATTTGTTTCCAAATGAACTTGCATATCATGCCCATTAATGCACACTTTTCTTGATGTCAGAATTCTACAACTTTGAAAATACTCCATTGCAAGCTGCAGATCTGTAGAAGATGAGTAAAAAAACTTCAGTCTCTCCCCCGGCCCACCAGCGGCCGAGCGGTAAAAGTCACTGAACACTGGTAGTTCGGTCCAAGGTTCGAATCCCACAAACGGGCTGGCTGCATGGGTGTTTTTGTGGTTTTCCCCATGTGTAACATGGAGCCGGTTTCCCTTAGAAAGTCCCCCACAAAGGCATCCCTCCCCTTAGGCAGATAGCCCTTGAGGCTTTGCCGTAATTAAATAACCTAACCTAACCTCACCTCAATCCCTCTCCCCTCCAAAGGTGAAGGGAAAACTGATAAACAGTAATTAACTTCTTCATGAAAACTAAACCTACTTCATGTAGAATCAACTGGATTCGCACAAATCCAAGGCAAAGATCTTATGATTGCGTAATGACATCATGCTTATTGATTAACCCTTTGATGCACATATTATTTTTATAATGTTTTAACTAAAAACTCTAGAAATCGAATATTATAATTCTAGAGACAAATATTATATGAATTATAAAAAAATCTACTCTCGTCCATTGATCTGTGGGTAATGGTCGCACTATGAAACCAGCGCCAGTCTAGGACTTTGCAACTTCCTGAGGTAGTAGGAAAAAACAACTTACCTTTTTCTGGTGTGCATTTCCAATAAAAGACGAAATTTTCAAATGAAAAAAAACTGTATTTAAAAACTGCATTTTATGTCAATTTTTTACATTATTTTAAAAAGTAAAACGTCGGAAAAAATGAAAATTTATGTAATTTTTCTACAGCAGTGAAAACATAATGTACATAATAAGGATGTTTGGATAAATTGATTAAAAAACTGGGTGTTTTTTTTAATGTCAAAGAGCAAAGTTATTTTTTATGAACTGTTCAAAACATGTTTTGTCTTTTTGGCACATGCATAAACTGACATTGCACATTTCACACATATAATCTTGTTTTACAAAATGTACACAACATTTATTTGCATTTTACTAGAATATGTTCTGCATTCTTTACTCCCTTTTCATCTGGCACATGAAATTTGTGGTTTTCATGTTAATAGGAAGAGTTGATCTTTTTCACTTTGGTACGGATCCTTCATTTCTCATTTATATCATACTATTGATTATATTCATTCACAAACACTTGAGTATATTTAAACTGGGGTCACTGTCTGAGAGCATTGGATATATAATTAAGGAGTTTAGAATGTTGACATCACCAAAATGAAAAAATAATTGGTGCCACCTTTTTAAAATTTTTCTATCCACTTCATATAAGCTTTTTAATTGGTCAAAGTAGTCAACATAGCCCATATTTTTGTTGTAATCTATAATTGCCTTTGGACATTGTATCTGAGCTTTCTGTGTAGTTTTTTCTTTCCTTTCTACGGTAGATGGAATAACGGAATTGACTAGGCTAGATAAAATGGTAACACCTTTTGTTTTTCCATTTTAGACAAGTTACTTTGTCATCACTTACTGGCCAGTGGAAGTCATCCAGTTTTAATTTATCTTCAATCAGGGTTTTGGGATTTTTCTTTTTATATTTACAGTTCCACAACAAAATATATTTTTCGTTTCTAAAAACTTTAAAAGTTCATAAGATGTAAAATAACTGTCCATGTAAACACTGTGATTTTTACCGAACAAGAGCTCACTTAACATTTTTATCACTCTTTCACCCAGATTTTTTTTTACTCATTGGGTTTTACCAGTATAAATTTCAAATTTAGAAGCATAGCCGCTTTCATCGCAACACACCCAGACTTTATATCCACGTTTTAGGCAAGTACTGTTTTAGTGAACTTATACCTTTGAAATGAATCATTGATTTGTCAATTGACTGTTTTTTCCTGGTCTAAAGAGACTATCGAACCATTCTGATAAATAAGTCAACAGATGCTGAACTTTATAAAGTTTGTCAAATGGTTTGTCCTCTCTTTCTGGCATTACACTGTTATCGTTCAAATGCTTAACTAAAATCCATAAAAACTTCTTCATTGCCATTTGCTTCTCTAAATAAGAATCAGTATTTCGTTAGTTGACCAGAAATCACGATAGCTAGGGAGTTTTTTTAATTCCCATTAGAATGCTAGGGAGTTTTTTAATTCCCATCAGAATGCTAGGGAGTTTTACAATTCCCATTAGAATGTTTATCCTGAGAAATATCATCATATCCTGAAGAGCTATAGGTGAAAATGGCTTACTTTTTGAGTTGCATATAAGTTAGTTTCAAAAACTAATTTATCTAAGAATGAAATAGTAAAAAAAAAGACAAATATATCAATGAGTTTTGCATCTTCCATAAAGGCGATTTTTTCATTGGGCCATAATCCTCAGAAAATTTGGGAATTAACTACACTTGTTAATTTGATGAACAAGCGAAATCAAAACTGATCAGCCAGAGTATTTCACAAGTGAGATAAAAGCTTATTTTGGTCTTAAAAGAAACAGTATATTTATTTTTACAATTTCCACTCTTGTTTGCAACATGTTACTTATTTTTTTACATAAAAATGTAACAAACTTTTAAGAAATAAAGCTTACGCAGCGCTTATCAAGGAACACTCCAAGTAAAAACGGTTTTAGCTCGGCTCGCTGTTGCCAAACAGCGAATCTTAATAACTATTCAAAACATTACATTATGTTGCCCTTAGGAAATCTTAATAATTATATAGAAACATAAAATTATGTTCCACTACACACTTTTTGTTTTATTCCATGTTATCCGTGCAATTCGGGAAGGACTTGGTAAATTTATATCATCACTTTCATCTTCTATATTTCCATAAGCAGGAAGGAAGGGGGTAAAGGAGGATTTCCCTATCCTCAGGGACCACCAATTCTGGATCTGAAGGTAATTCTTGAGGTAAAGCTAATGTATCAGCTACAGAACTTTGTGAGGCATTTTAAATCCCAACAGTAGCCCCCCCCAAAAAAATAAATAAATAAAATATTAATAAAATATTTTAAATTACATTTTTATATGATTTCTATTTTTACTTATAGAAAAATACATTTGCAATAAAATTAAACCACACAAAATAATTTAGAAAATCACAGTACCAGTGCAGGAAGCAAGCATGTTGAGCTCAGAGAAAAATGTCTGGAAAAAAGACATTTTCTCTGGGCAGGTGCATGCATTATTTAGTAATAAAATAACTGTAGTTTCAGAGCCCCTTATATATACAGGTAAAAGTAAACACTCTTACTTGAAAGCAGCAAACACCACCGTGAAAAGCTGTGGTTTCAAGACATGATCACTGAGCCCTAGAGTACTGTGACACAATACTCTAGTGGCTCAGTGGTCACATCCTGAAACCACAAAGCAAATGCCATAAATATACAAAGGTTGTTCATATATGCAGTTTAATTATTGCTATATTTTTATCGTTTATGGCAAAAACGATGTATGATGAATAACATTTGAAATTTTAAGTTGTCCATATTAGTAAACTGAAGTTATTTTGTCTCACTGAAAATTAATTTTAAAAGGCGTCCGATTGGAAGTACTAAGACCTAAAAATGTATGGTTCTGCAGTCATTTTGTGCTATATAGAGGTAAAAGATAAGTAATCAATCGATTTTCACTCAAAATTTCAGAAAGAAGGGGGGAAAATTCGAAAATTGGTGGTTTCAGGGCTGGCCCCTGCACGTCAAGAGGTTAATTTCACTTAATCACATTACTTGGCCAAAGTGTCCTACATGTATTTTATAATGGTTTTACAAGTCTCCCATTTGCTTAATTTTTCAGGTGAGAGAGCTCCTAAAATTTTAGAAAATTCCAGTTAATCAAGCTTTTACTGTACACATTTAACATACCTTTACATAAATATAAGAAAAAATAAATTTAATGATTCAAGAAATTTAAAATACCTTAAATTTAATTACATACTTCTGAATACACAGACTTATAAAAATAAATAACTTAAGCCAGGTTCAAACTGCAGATTTAATTAAAAACTTCAAAAACGTTAAGTTTCAATCAAAAGAATTTCTAACTTCTAAAAAAGGGCTCTCTTCCTTACTATTCAACAGAAGCTCTCATAAAATCTTTTATAAGTGAAAATAGTAAAGTCAAAGATTCATTACCATTCACTTATTAGAGACAACTTAAAGCCTACTAAATTACAACAAATACAGTACAGTACAAAGTTCGAAATCTGGACGGCTGTTATCCAGAATGATCTAAAATCCGGACCTCAAAGCAACAAACTTTTTTTTTTTGTATGCTTTATGCATGTGCACTTGATTTTTCCTTCCATAATAAAACATGTGGAGATCTTCACATAAAAATTCTGATTCTTAATTTCACTGAAGCACTAAATAAAATACATTGTTATGAAAAACAATCACATAAGCATAAATTTGCGAGATTAATAATTTGACTCTGCA